CTGACATACTAATCGGGGAATTTGCTGCGGCAGTTTAGCAGTGATGGAACGGGGCTCGTTATCAGACAAACCAGGCCACATACCTGGCATGCTTCAACATCCTCCTAAGCCTAACTCTCAATGGCCTACATCCCTCCACTCCTCTATGAAACCAGAAAAATAAACTACTGGATGTTCCAAGTAAAAAGCAGCCAAAGATGATAATTGGCCAAAGCTTGACAAAAAGATTAAAACAAAGGTTCATTTCGGCTATTTTTTTCTCTCTCTCTCTCTCACTCACTCAATATATGCAAATAAATGCATAAAGATTGTGTAACAAACGTCTTTACTCTTTTTCACGCTGCTAAAAAGATTAGTTTGAAAACCTGGTGCTAATTTGTTCTGACCTGAGAGACCATACCTTTAAGCGATTATCTTTTATCACAGCAGCTCTGAATATTCCCTCAAAGAATGGCAGTGACAAGCTAATTGCATTTGAGGCCATTATTGTGTTTTAAATGTGCTAAAGTAGCCGGAAGAATATGGTGGTTTTTTTTAAAGTAGCATGAGACATAGGTATGAAAAGGCAGCAAAGTGTAAAAAAGAAAAATTAAGTGCTGACAATAAGGTATAATTTTAAAGGGGGCGTATAATAAAAAAGTATAACTTGTAGCGCTCTATAGCTTGCATTCTAGTCTAAAGACAAGGACTGAAAATGTGTCATTCAGCTTAGATGACTTTTTTGTATTCACAGCAGAATTATCCAGTCTCCTCATCTTTGGCTTCATCTAAGTTCAACATCAAATGCTCCAATGCTTCAGTCACTTTAGGAAAAGGGATTTCAAAACTCATTTGCTCTTGCTTTTTGCCTTGCTATTAACTGTAAATTCTAATCAGAAATTATGGACTTGGAACAATGAAGCAAGTGCTTACAGATTTGAGCCACTCTATTCAAATTTCCAACTCTTGTTTTTTACTTCCTCTGGGATAAACATATGATCCCCATTAAGCTGTCGATTTTCATTTTACAACAGTACAACAGAACTGAACTCATTTTCTGTTTGCTGAGAGGGATGAAGGGTGTAGATATCATTWTTCTTATCAGCAAGATTATACAAAATGAAAGGGGACATATACAAAATCCACTTTTTTTAGCCGTTAAATACATTTTGTTGTGTACCTAGAGTCTCTAGGAGGGAAGAAAACAGTCTCTCCCAGTGTTGCATAGATACCTTTATAATCTGTTTGGGTCTTATTTTTCAACCCGTTCAGTTTTCTCTGTCTTCTATGATGTTTCCTGAATAATTTCATCAAATTATTTGTGACTAGGGCTGCCATGATTAGTCGACTAGTCAACGACTAATCAGCTATTAAAATAGTCAACGACTAATTTAATTGTTGATTCGTTGATTGTTATTTTTTACTTTGTTTTTCTCTCCAAACTGCTTTCACACCTTCCACTGCCACATCTGCCTTTCTGTCCTTGACACACATGCAAAGTAGTGGTAGCTGGGGTAGGTCGTGGACATCACAAGACATTATACAGACAGGCTCTGGTATCATGCTACCCAGCAACGGAGCTCAAAAGTGTGGGATCATTTTAAGAAAATGAAAGAGAAATCTGTGCAATGCAATATCTGCAAGGCAGAACTTGCCTTTCACTGCAATTATTTTTAGTTAGCATATAGCTAAAATCTAATGATGGTTATATAATAGCAGCTGCATTCTGGCATGATAAGCTATATGTTTATATTCAATTAACTGACTAGTCGACTATAAAAATAATCATTTGTGGCAGCCCTATTTGTGACAGAATTTCTAAATAAGGTCTGGACTTACCAACTACAATTTCATCTTCTTCATTCTCCTCTGGCTCTGGGTCAGAATCTGGCTCCAACATGTAAGGCTGGATGGACAAGTCTTCTGTTGCTGACATATTTAAGTTCATTTGTAAATAAAACATTTCTACGCCGCTAAATAAATCCCTCTATCAAACTAGAATGGAGCGGTCTGGAAGCTGGAGGGGGGCAGGGTGTGAAGCCCCTTCATTTGGATTTAAAGAGACAGCCTCGAAATGAGTTGATCTGAAACACCTCAGAAAAGGGGTAAAAGAGGGGCTTGTGGATTACAATAAGGAGGACTTGAACATTGCAGTTCCACTTTATATAGACCTCAACTGAATGATTTAAATGTGAAACAGAAAGATTAAAAATATATATATCGTCACACAGACGTTGTCATTTTATTAACACTGCAAAGTATACCGGGTAAATGATGGTGTTCATTATATGTTAAAGGTAAAGGTAAAGGCTGTGGATACTTAAGTTCTGGATCAATACTTTAGCTGGATCACTTCCAGTACATCGTTGCAACTCCACACTTCTTCAGCTACAGAACATTGTCCAGTTGCTTCATCTTTTTCTTTGAATTTTCCATCTCCTGGATGACTGAGAATTCACAGAAACGTATGATAGTAACAATGTTGGACCGTGTCGATTTTAAAGTGGATTGATATTTAATTAGCTTTACTTAGAAGACTTTGCATTGCTCTCATTTCAGAACGCTTTACCGGAGCAGCCGACTGGAGGCAGGTTAAAATGTAAACGGTGAACTAAACAAACATGTCAGACAAATATTTAACCAGCTCCGACTGCATAACAACTTCAGAATTGACTTGCTAACCAGTAGCATACATCTAAACATGCAGGAAAGGAGTCCTTGAGAACTAGGGTTGCGAATCACTGCTTTAACACATGTTATCTGATTTATTATTTACAAATAAATGGCAAAGAATCAATAGCTTCCAGAGGCAATACTAAAAAACATAAAACTGAGTAAATATTATATTTTGAAAATGTCTCATCAAGCTCAGAGAAGCTCTTGAGGTGTTGGTCAACATTTAAAGCAGTGATCTTTAGATGTTTCCCTGACTCGACACACCTGGTTTGAATGAATGAGTGATTAACAATCTTCTGAAGACCCGATGAAGAGCAGGGAAACAAGTAAAACATGCTGGATAGGGGCTCTCGAGGATCAGGGTTGGGCAAAATGTGAACGTCCACGCAAAAAAAAAAAAAAACAGCATTGGTTCCGGGTATCAGGAAATTCTGAACYATGCTGGTATCGGAATTAGGGCGTCCCTAACTCAAAAATTAATTAAAGCATCTATCATTACCACAAGGAATCTTCAACAACRACATAAGAAGCAGGCTGCAGTTAGAGCCTGTTTATGACAAAAGGGCCACATTTAAAACATTTTGCATTGCTTGCCACTGCAAGTGTGAGACACAGATCAGTCTGAACTTGTGTTTTAGTGACAAAAAGAAAGCCTAGCCTCTGTTAAGATGAGTTCTATCATGATTGTATGCCTAATATCTAAAATCTAGCAAAAATTCAGCTACATGTCAAGGTAAGATCATGGTCACAAGAATAGCAAGTGTACCCTGAGAAATTAACTAGAAACAGCAAATGTGAAAGAAATGTTGACTGAACTAATGTCCTCAAAGTGACTTTGCAGTCTATACATTAATCCAACCAGAGTTTGTGTTTCTATATTCATTTTTCACTCCTTTTAACCAGCATCATTTTATCACGTCATACATTGTCATATTTTATTACCCACCATTTGCCCTTCAAATTTCTCTGTTCTCTTCCTAACACAACAATCTGTCACTCCTGCCTTCCTCCATCATCAGAGACATCATCATCCAGTAATGTGCAACTGATTAGTGCCCTCCAAAAAGCAGAAAAGTCTTCATCAGTCATGAAGATGCAGGCAATTACACCTCAAGTTTCTCAAACTTCAAGGAATGCATCAATAACATTTYCATTAGTCAGCCTTTACTGTAGTTTTCTGAGGCTCTGCCATCTTCACAGGCAGACACAGATTAATCCTCCAACTATTTCAGAGTTCCTGTTTGCAATCACTCTATTATCCCTTCGTCCCACGTAGCCTTAACTTTCCCACAATGTTATTCAAAAGGCCTTTCAGTTATAATCATTTCTGTCACCTTCTAGCCTCCCATGTGTAATTTTCTGTTATTGTGTCAAAAATTTGATCTGACTAAAGGTGATGCTTTGCACAAAATAAAATAAAGATAGAGCAGTTCAGTYCTTTGGTTTAGTTTATTTCTGTTCTGCTGAAGATAAGGGCCTCCCTTATCTTTTGTCCATTCATGTTTAAGCTCAGTATAACCTCTCCTTTTTTCCAACCATCGCTTCTTTAATTCATTTTCACCTAGCGCCTCCCTGGTATGTTTCATTCAACTCTCCATCTTCTTGATCCTCTATAATTCCCTCCTCTGCCGTCACTCCAATCCGTGACTGTCTTCCTTCGTTCTTAGGTTTTGTGCTCCACAGATTCCCTAGCCGTACAATAAAGAATGATCCTATGCACCCGTAAACACCACACGAGTGGTCATATTAATCTGACTCACTTGTTATGTACAGACACTAAATAAGTACTACCCCTCACCCCAATGAAGGCCAAACACACACACACACCAGCATGTGAGGGGTCCCAGTGCTCGAGGCTTGTGATAAATCATCCAGCAAGCTCAATTCAATCTGCAAGTCTTCATAGCTGCCTACAGAACACGAGCAGTAGCTCGGGTGTTTTTAGGCAGGTTAAACAGCCACATCTGTGATCTCTACAAGCTACAATACCTAAAGGAACAAAATTAGAAACACTATATTTGTCACAGCAGATTTATTAAACATTTACTTCAAGATTTGTGATAAAATGTTTTAAAACATGTATTATTTGTTTTTAGATTATGCAACTTTAAGTTTCTATCATCTGCTTTCAACTATCTACACAAAAAGAAAAATTTTATTCAAAAACACATTTCTGCTTCACCTTATTCAAATTATTCTTTTTTATCTTTATCTTTCCTTACATTAACGTGATCTCTGCTAAATTCATTTGTATGCTCATGTGGAAAACTCTAACAAGTCCAAAAATAAAAAATATAATAAAAATTACAGAAAAAAGTAAACTAAGAAATCCAACGAGAGCTTACCCAGCAAAGCTYACATGTTCTGGAAAATTCTGAGCAGCTCTGGGGTGATGGCTGGGCTGTTCTCCAAAGTCACCAACCTACACAATCAGAGGGAGGGAACAAGGASAGCAAGCAGAAGGGCAGGAGGGGATAGGAAAAAGGAGCGATGAGAGGGGAAAAAAGCTCAAAAGGAACGATAAAACAGAAAGTGTGAGGGGTTGCCAGAAAAGTGTGCAGAAGGCATATATTAGAGGTGGCAAAAGAGGATAGGGTGAGAAATACAATAGAACACATTATGGAGGCAGAAAGAAGAAGGAGAACATAAGAATCACAGAGGTGGAAAAAACGTGATATATGGTGAAGAATATGTTAAAAAATAAGAAAAGAAAGAAAGAGAAAGTGTTCTGCTCGGTGTTCAAAAAATTCTAATAAAATATGTATTTGAAAGAGCAGACAATTTTTATATTTATTTAAAACAATTGACAAAACAAAATTAATCTGAAAAATCAGAACTGATGGAATTTACTGTACAATTTTTATATCAGTGTCTTCACATAAATTTATATTCCATTACTAGAATAGCTTTACCTATTCTGAAAAAGTAGGGATATATTATAAAATTTAAAGTGGGCCTATTATGCAAAACTCACTTTTTTTCATGTTTTTAAACTTATTTTTGGGTCTCTGCTGCTTAGAGAAGCAGTCCAGACACCAAAAAAATGCACCCAGCCGTTTTTTAGTTGTAATAACATGTATTTTTAGGTATCTGGAAACATAGTATTTCTCAAAGCACGTTATTCTGACATCACAATAACAGTTACCTAGCAACCTAAACCAGAGTCCTGCTCCTCACGAGGCAACCCGAGGTGAAGCTCCGCCCACTTCCTCAAGGGACGATAGTTGTTCTGTTTTTACAGCAGCCACAGAGAACAGAGATGCCTGGATTAATTTTATTTTTATCTTTGATGACAACGTTCTAACAATATTGCCAAAGAAAGCTGAAGTTTGTGAAAATAATTTCACTTTGGAAACTGCTACCATGTCGGGGGGCGGAGCTAACGTAAACGAACGGATGGGGGGAATAGGGGAGGGGGGTTTCCATAGCAACTTCTGCATACAGCATGTTCTAGAGGGAGCTGAAGAACAGGAAGAATTGAAAACGTGAAATTTCATTATTTGAGATTCTTTTTGTGAATTAAATCAAATGAACATGTTTTGTAGAGCCCACAGATGGATCCTAACTTGTGCTAAGACKCCCATAATAGGCCCACTTTAAATAAACTGAGTGCAGTTGTTTAGAAATCTCACAAATCCCTACTTTTTTTACAATTAAATATAATGGACAGCTTGTTGTTGGGAAACAAAAAATGTCACCAAGAACTTCTCAAGATGATAAAGAATGAATATTGTGAGATATTGAAAGGATACTAACAGACAGCAAAAATAAAAAAAAAACACACATGCATGAACACATACAGTGAATACAAACTGTTTACCCTGCTGTTTATCTGGCGGAATAAAAATTGAGCATTAGGACATAGGACTGATTTGGAGGCAGAATAAAAAGGTAATGGGGTCAAATTCTCCTTAAACAAACCAAATCTCTGTTTTCCTTTTTCAACATGTTACATTTTTCTGCAAATAAGTTGTTGAAGCAGCTTAGAATTGCCTTCTCCCCGAAATAAAAAGATAAAGCAAAAATTGTGAGCTACATAAATAATCAACCAATTAGTTGCCCACAAGGAGTTTCTGGCTGTGAAAAGCCAATTTAGGCAAGATGCAACYGTGAGCTCATTAAGCATTGCTTATCTGCAAAATGTTTGCATCTGGCTTCTAAATATGGAGTTGATAGGAGTCAGTAAATGAGGACGACATGACAAAAGGGGGTCTCATAAACAAATAACACGAAACAGAAAAGAAGAAGAGCYCCAGAGACATAGTTTTCATATGTAGACGTGTAAGTAAGGGATGGATTGAGCTCACTAAGTGCTTCATAAATTTCAGCCTCAGAGTTTTTTTTATTTTTTTTCTCTAACTCGTGAATGTGTGCTGCATGCTGATCCATACCAAAGCTCCAGTCCATCCTCTAGTAAATAGACATGTGGTGGTTGAGACACATCAGTGCTCAGCTGAATGACAGGAAGAAGGAAAGGGTAAAGGTTCTTACTCTCTGCCCCAAGGCCCTGAAAGAATAAAAAGARGCAAGAAAGTCAATGCCAATAAATGCCAACATGACAAGAAAAGCAGATGGCAAAGTTCAAAACTGTATATTTTCTTTGTGCTTCAGTGTAAATGTGGTTCTTTGGAGTTCATCTGAGCAGAACACAGTAATGCATTTATAAAAAAACAGATTTATAAAAGTTCAACAGCTCTGCCATATTGTTTCCCAGCACATGTCACCATCTTTAACTGCAAAGAAATCTTTAAAAAAGTGCTACTTCCATAATGCAAATCATGGACATCTGTTTCTATTCCTAAAATCTCTAAAACAGTAATATCCTAAACGCTTTAATTTTCCTGCAAAATGCCAGCTTTAAGCAGCAATGGCTATTTGAGCAATATTATATGTTAAATTTTATGGGCCCTTTAAAACCATCCTATTTAAAAACAGTGGGAATCCATTAAGTTCAATTACTAAAGGGAAAAAGAAAACACTGGGGCACAACTGCAGGAACTAAGTCACAGCTCATTTATTGGTCATTTGGATTTTAATGATATTTAGGATGATGTGTGTGAGTAGAAAATGGCAGAATCTTCCTCTGGGAGAAGTTCCCAGGCAAATCTAAATTTGAAAGCACTTGTTTTACAGAAAGATATCTATAGCTTTAAAGAGAGGCAGATAATTCTACAAATAGTTAAACATGAATAACGTATGCGTATTTTTCTTTGACCCCACAATATATTTACACAAACAATAGCTCAGGCTGTCGCAACAACACACAATCACATGTAACACTGTTTATGAATAATGCACAATAATGCTTTTTTCCATTTAAAGCATTGTTTTCTTTTTTCCACACAGTCTCAAACTCCCGTTTGTCAATGAAAACTGAAACAGTGTGCCTTTTAAAGCACCTAAACCCACCACATTTTATGTCAATTTGTGTACTCACAGAAAACACTCCCAAAAACTTCTCTGAAGTGTTGAAAATAAAACTGCGAGTGTGATTTGTTGTGTATGTGTTGGGGCGTTTAGAGTAGGAGAATTAATCAGTGTGAAGGCAAAGAAGATCCAGAGTAGTGTTTCAAAACTGTCAACACTGTTTCAGTGATGGCATGACATTAATTTGCTCCCTCCTGCATCAATGTGGGTGTAGAAGAGAAAGATCCTTGCTCATTCCCCAAGCTGGCACAGCCTTGTCTCCCTATCACAAACAGCAAATATGTCTTACAGGCAAAATGAATCCAAGTTTGAAAACAAATGAGTCAATATGGCAGCTTTTATGAGCTTAAGAGTTGACTTAACGCCATCAGATCATTAGAAGACGAGATTAGTTTGCAGCAGTGCCAGATGGACTGAAGTTAAACAGTCAAAATACACATTTTGCAGACTCAAATCTCCATGCTTTTGCAAAGTGATCAGAGTACTGCAGCTGGCTCTTTTTAACACACATGCTTAACGTTCACCATGACATTAACAATTCTGTGTGCTGAGTGGCGCTACATGAAGATCACGTGCACTAATGAATAAAAGATGCATACATTTTTCTAGTGGTCAATTGGATGAATTTAGGCAGAGTATAAATTTATATATCCTTTTATAAACTGGTTTAAGGCAATGAAGCTGGATAATCTAAGGCCCATCAACAATGCACCCCAATGCTTCTCATTTAGGTTGCCAGATGTGTTCTTGCATTATTCAGTCAATAGGAGGTTGTTATTATCACCGAGCATTGCATCTCCTGACAGGAAGTTCTGCAGCTGCAACAACACAGGGGTCCAAATCAAACTGAAGGGTGAGGCTGGCAGCGTCAGTCTTCTGGGAAAAGAAGTCTTTGACTGCAAGTATTATTTTTTAAACTAGATACTGAATAACGGTAACATAATGACCCCCGCCCACACAAATGCACCAGAACTCAGAAGTCTTTATTCCTAATAAATGTCAT